CTCGAAATGGAAGTAAGCTCAACAATTGTGAAACAAGAGATTCCTCGAAACCCAACTTTTCTTCGTATATGTTCCTTATCTTAACCAAATAGGGCAAATACATTTCATATATATATATATATGATCTATCCATAGTCTCTAAAAATCAGTCACCAGGTTGTTTGAGGCGAAATTTCATACAATCAAATGATTAGACCTTTAATGCCACCGCATTTCGCTTATTCATACCATCCAAAAAGATTTCTCATCCTGAAGCAATTGCGAGTCCGTCCCCATCAGTAACCCTACGGGATTTTATCCCGGGTCGCGCGTATCATAATGGTGTTAACACTTGCGTACACAACCAGGGGTTCCTACGGTGAGTCCCCACCCAAATAACACTTATAGTGGGATTGTCGATTAAACAGGCGTGTGTGGTTCGCATAGTTCCCTAAGACATTAGCAATTTTCGATTTTGAGTAGGTTTCGAGACTAATAGTAATTCTCGCTTCAGAAATCAGCCAGCCAAGGTCGCTTAAGGCGATTTGAGTTTTCCCATAATCTTCATTTGGACTTACATATAACCGGGTTCAAGTCTCGCATTGAGTAACCATTTTTTGCACAAGGATGGGCCATTTATCGCCAAGCCCGGCTTCTGGTACCACTAATCGTCTCCTCGTCATTTAGCAGCCACACCATATACGCTTCAATTCCCGTTCGTCTCTACTATCTTTCGCCAGCTCACCTTCCGTCATACCTTTGACCTCGCTCCTCCTCCTCCTCCTCCTCCCACCTCAAACTGACAATAGGCGGTTTTGCCTTTGCGCCCACATCACACCAACTCCCACCCACCCGTTCAACTGTGGTCCAGCCGCCAATGTTCAAGCCCGATACAGCGTCGTCTGTCACAAGACGGAATCACACTTTATTGGCGGACAACAAGACGATTAAACACAGCCTTACCACACACAAACATGGGCACATATGACATTTGACACTGTGCTCATTTCAGCAATTATAACGAAAAAGTCACATGGTCCTATGCTACGACACAGCAAGCGATTGCCACAAGACCTTATTCCAGATCTACCGGTAGGCTCGACACCTACTCAACATGAATACACAACCAATCTATTCGTTTGCCCCTTCCTACAGATGCCCATATGGCACGGCCAAGTTTCCTCTAATTCTTTAATTGTATATGCCTCGAATATGCGTGTACTCTAGGCCAGCATCCGATGAGCCTAAACACAATTGCACACTATTATACACACAAATAAACAACCACACTTCAACTCACATACCAACATTAAGGTGTGCATCTGCCCAATTGAGGAAGATGCTTTATAAGTAATTCGAGTAGTAATTCATCCAGACGTAGACTTATGAAAAGTCATTATGCCCTGTACACCAGAGGCCCAAATGAACTGCTCTCCAAATCTCAGACTTCATCTTCATTTCTCGGCCACACCAAAACCCATTGAAGCTTATAGAATATAGTCAGGGCATATACATGCTTTATGTACAAAATTGTTGTGAAAACTCCATTTCGGATGAATGTGAGTCTGATGGAGGAATTGGGTGGTTGATCTTACCGGAAGACGAAGGTCGAGTCCCGTTGTACTGCAGTACCGTCGCCCCAATACGAAATTCAAGTTGACGCAATCCAAGGGACATCTATCCACGTTTTAGGCCAAACTGAGTTGACCTTTCGTCCATTGTATGACGGACATAATCAGAGCCAGAACTCATTCCTACAAAGGTCTCAAGCTGACACCAGGTCAGGAAGACTGTCCGGCTCTATCTTACATAGTATATATACTCATATATGAAAAATATATGAATATATATATATATATGAATATATGAATATATGAATATATGAAAATATATCAAGTAAATAGATGTAAAATGACTTTTCCAGTTCTCTTTGGTATTAATCATTGCACTTTTACTTGTGTATGTGTGCTTGTGTGTGTTAAAGTCTTCACATAATAACGGTCCCAACTCAGGGTAGCTTCAAAAGCCTTATAACAGACTTGGTTTATCAATGCTTAATTACTCAAAGAAAAGCCTTATCGAGATTACGTAAGTCAGTAAACGACTCTGATTGAGATTATCTAAGGTAAGATTGTACACGTATATGTTAGGTTGCAAAATCACACGTCATAACCCGTTATAATCTATCTATTATGTCTAAGGTATACTATATTACCTACTTTACTTGGTTTTCGTTTATAAGTAGGCATTTGAGAGTACCGGTATATCATATAAATGATATTTATTCACCCTATTTCGTGTAAGTTTATAAGAGGACTCTTGTGTTGAATTTTCTCATAATGGTATGCGTAGACCTTACGTATACTTTGAACATCATACAATGGATGAAAGCTCAATTTGGTTTGACCCAAAACGTGGAAGGATGTCTCGTGGACCGCGTCAGCATGAGTTGCGTATTGGGGCCAAACGACTGCAGTAAAACGGAACTCGAGCTTCGACTTCCGGTACGATCAACCACCCAATCCTTCCATCAGACTCACATTCATCCGAAATGAAGTCTTCGCAATGGGGTAAATATTTGTTCTCAGGACAAGAGTGGCCAGTTAAGACTGGCGAAAGCAATTCCTGTCACCTGATCCTTTAGTTCTTCACCGATCCTTAGTACCACACCTCTGAGCACGATGAGTCTGTCAAGAATCGGTATCCATGGCCTGTAACTACACTGAATTTTCCGGTAGAAGAACTGAGAAGATGACTATAAAATGGGGTAAATATTTGTTGCCAGGACAACAGTGGCCAGTTGAGACTAGCGAAAGCATTTCCTCTCGCTGAATCCTTTAGTTCTTCCCCGATCCTTAGCACCGTACCTCTGTGCACGGTGAGTCTGTCAAGAATCGGTATCCATGGCCTATAACTACACCGAGTTTTCCAGCAGAAGAACTGAGAAGATGACCCTAAAATGACCACTCAAGCTTGTGTTGTGCAATGTCCAAACCTAATCGCCCAATCTTCGTCATTTGAACAGCCAGTTGACATGCGGATGAGACTGAACGGGCACAGGTAGACCGTTCAGACGGCATATGGTAGCTTATCTGAATGCATCATACATACTTGCCTCGTTCGCGTGGTCAACCTTCTGGCTGAATGGGGCTTATCAAAAAACGGCATAAACTTGTAGGCATAGGTACGACTTCATCTGCCCTACTTCACTATAATTAGATTTTTTATCGTCGCTATCCACGAGAAATTCCACCCTCGCCCAACTTATGATGCTGAGCATCCACAGTCTCCACACCAACTCTTGGCCTTCAGGAACACCGTTTCTATCATCCTCCCACCCTGTTTGCTTCTCTTCCCCTTTTCTCCTCCATTCCCTAATCCCCATCTGCATCCCCTCTTCGTTCCCTCTTCTTCTACTGCCAGCCCTGTCGGCATTAATGCTCTGTCTCGGTCTCATCGTGCGGCGTTACCAGTTTTCCCCAGTTTCTCTGTCGCCCGGTTTCGATTTTCATTCTACTCCCATTTTTCCCTGTCTCTCCTTTTCTTCACTTTTTCCCTCTTCCAAATCAATATTGCCATGGTTGATTTCTTACCTTATTTTATCCTCATTTTTAATAAATCTTTATTCTGCCAGTATCGGCGTAGGAACCGAATACTCTTCAGAAATAATGATCCTCACTCATTCCTCTGTTTTAGTCGTAATACCTCCATCTACTACTTGCTTAGTCCTATCAACCACTTTCTCTCCCCACATTTTTAGAATTTGATTCAGTTCTGGCTATTTGGCTACTCACTATTCTTGCCCCCCGATTCCGTGTCAGCAAATCAACCCAAGGTGGGTTGAAAGGAGCCCTGAGAAGCGCGAATTGAAATGGGTACTTACTTTGAGTATAAGTAGTGAATCAAGTTTTCGGTCAAAAACACTCGGTGCGAAACTCCCCACAATATGGTGTGAATTAATGGAGCTCTTCTGTCTTAAAATGTCCAATTATCTTGTAACAAGGTGTGTATAGGATTAAGTAGCTCAAGGGCTAATGTATATTAAATGTGATGCATTCACCCTATTTCGTCTGAGGTGATAAAGGATTGGTGGTAGAATTTTCATACAATGATATGAGTAGAGCTGACGTTTCCATTCAATTTCACATAGCCTTGCCCTCCCAACAGGTACTCTCATCCAAGCTGAAGTGGACTGCAGTTGCTACCTCGCCTAGGTCTTATCAACAGCCCCAGCGGGAGTCGAACCGTGACAGTGCAGCATGTGAGTTGACACGTCAACCACTCGGCCACATCGCCACGAGTGCCCTTGGGCTACAGGGCAGATGGGAATTCCAAATCACATTCTCTGGTGGGATTGTCTATGAAGCAAACGTATTTTTGCTATAACAATCGATTGCATTACTTATATCGTGTATGTAAGTAGACTCCTTCATATTACTTATTTACTGGTAGTCTCGAAACTCTACTTAAATACGAAAAATAATGTGTATTAGCCTCTGAATGCTGCTGCGGTTGTGGATAATTGGACGAGGCGAGGTCCGGCCTTGAGAAGATGAGCCATTCGGTAGGCGTAGCAACGTAAAATCAGAGAAAAATCAGACAGTCAGAGTCAGGTTGGCTCTAGAAACTGATATTGGTTTCGTGCATATTCGTTACATACACATACAGTGACAGACACACACACATATGCATCGAAGTTGACATATGACCGTAACTAACCAAATCACTTTACACTTGATAAAAGAGGCCAGATTTAGAGTAGATATTCCACTTTTTAGGGATTTGCCGGTGAGTTA